ATTCCTAGTCTACTTAGATTATCTTACGCTATTCTTGGACAGGTTTTGCCATCACGATCCGGTTACCCATTGAAAGATCGTGAATGGTATGTGGAGTGAATCATCTATAGCGAACGCTCGGGTACGATGGGCATCGCTGCAAGAACCTTGAAGCTTAAGATGGACTGTGATCGTACTTCACTCAATGAATGGAAGCGTGGGAATCGTCGGACACGCCGGTCCCCCGACCTTTCCTTTCGTTGAAATTTTAGACTCTTGAGGTGAATTGGAAGCCAAGGGTCGTTAGCAACAATTGCACCCGGGCACAGAAGAGCCTTCATTAATTTGAATGGCCTACACGACGCTGTACATAGGTCGAAGACAGCCCATTGCGAAAGACTCGTGGAGCCACGCGGGACCGCGGTCCTGAGAGAGACCTGATTAAGACCAATACAGGGTTTGTGGGTCCCCGGTCGGCTGGGATATGGTTCCCAACTTCCAAATTTGCCGAATAGCTGTTCCTCCTAATTAATCCTTCGCGTCGTCGCGCCCAGATTCCGATCCTAATTGCCTGCAATGGCTCCTGTAAGCGTTGCTGCCGACGACGACCATCGCCTGAGGCTCGCCCACCCCGTTCCCTCGCCGTACTACATGCCCGGGCCAGCGACAGCATCGAGCAGCACGCTCCCCAACCCGCCGTCGCAGCCAGCCTCGCCGTTCAGGCCACCAGCGCCCCCGCAGACGCTACGGAATGGGAGCACGTCCAGCTCGCGGTCGCTCAGACGAGATAAAGAACGGGACCGCGAACGCGAAGCATCGCGGGGGTCGCCCAGCTTGGGCGGCGAGCCCTCGACATCGAAGAAGGCCGCCGCTGCGACCAACGGCCACGCAAGCCCATCGACGCCGGTGGGCTCGACAAAGGAGCTACCAGGTTCGACAACGAAGAGTGCTTCGAAAAGCAAGAGCGTCGCCCCTCAGCCGCGCATACGGACGAACCCCCATCTGACGAACGATCCGAATGCGGAGCCCGCGCCCGCGGCGGTCATGTACTGGAGTCGTGCGCCGGTGTACGGTGCGCTGCCCATGCGCGGGATGCGTGCCCATAGTGTGACGCTGGTTGACAACGTCGCGTGGCTGTTCGGCGGGTGCGACGATAAGGGGTGCTGGCAGGATGTGTACTGCTTCGACACAGGTGCGTGCGGACCCACCCCTCCTGTTCCATGTACTCACAGAAGCTCCTCTTCCTCATACGCCCATGCAGAAACGCTACAATGGTCACATCCAGAAATGGTCGGCGACATCCCCCCGCCGTGCCGCGCACATACAGCGACGCTGGTGGACAAACGACTAGTCATCTTCGGTGGTGGGCAGGGCCCCGTGTACTACAATAACGTCTACATCCTCGACACCGTCACGCGGCGGTGGACACAACCCGTCTTTCCGCAGGATGCGCAGGGACCCGCACCCCGACGAGCGCACACCGCGGTGTTGTGGAAGGGCAAGCTGTGGGTGTTTGGCGGCGGAAACGGGATGCAGGCCCTAAACGACCTGTGGACGCTGGACGTCACGGGGCCTGTGGAGCGGATGCGCTGGGAACCTATCGAGACATATGGCAGGAAACCAAATCCGCGCGGGTATCACACCGCGAATTTAGTAGGCGATGTCATGATCATCGTAGGCGGGAGCGATGGCAGGGAGTGTTTCTCGGATATTTGGTGCTTAAATCTGCGTACGTATTCTCTCTATATGGCTAAGCGTTCCTGATTTACCGCTGTCATGACTTGCAGTAAATCGAACGTGGACTGAGATCAAGGTCGCAACGTCGTATCGCAGACTGTCACATAGCTCTACGCAGATCGGCTCTTTCCTATTTATCACAGGCGGCCACGACGGCACAAAATACACATCTGATCTCCTCCTTCTTGACCTCGGTCCGTCTTCGCATCTTTCGTTCCATACTCTGCGTGTACTCACAATTTCCACCAGTATCCATGCAATACGAGCCCCGCAAAACGCTTGGCAAACCCCCTTCCCCGCGGGGCTACCACGTCTCCATCCAGGCCGACTGCCGGCTGTTCATCTTCGGCGGGTTCAACGGGCACGACGTCTACGACGACGTGCACATGCTCGACCTCGCGGGCGCGGCGTACCTGCCCCAGGTGGCTGCGTTCAAGGTCGACATCTAGTCGGCTCGTTATGGTCATGATCTTACGATACTGGATGACTTGGCACTATCACTATTGTTGGCACTCTCCCCATGACACTATCGTCCATCCACAAGTATGGTATTAGTTCGTATAATGTTGAGGATACATTTTTATTTTAGTGAGTGACAAGTATGTGGTGTGTCTTGGCTTGACTCTCGGGTTTGGAGATCTTGCTCGTTAACGTTTCTCGGTCTTCGGTACCGGATACGGTCCTTATTGCTGGAAGGCATTCTTTTGCTTCTTGTTTTGTTTTCTTTCGTATTGCTATTGTGCATTCACGTCTCATTCGTTCAGAACTGCATCCATACCCACGTCGCTCCCGCTTCCTCTACAAACAAGGCACTCCGTATTATGTTGTACATCCTATCTGCACATTCTAGTCCGAGCCAATACATCACTATCTATCCTTCCCGTATGGGCAATAATTTAAATGATAGCAAGGAATGTGGTGAAGTCTAAGGATTGTGCCGTGGTCCGAAGTCAGTCGGCCATGCCTTACTGGATGTAGTTGTTCTCGACCAGCTTGGTGTTGATCTGTCGTATGTCAGGGGTTATGGCGGCATATAGTGGTAACTAGCAGCCACTTACGTAGGTATCGTCGATCTTGGAGACGTCGTTCACCCCCATGAGCTGCATACTCGTCTTCAACTCCGTGGAAAGCAAGTCGATCATCCGGGATACCCCCTCTTCACCCCAGATATTCGCGAACATAGGGCTAGAAAAACAATCTCTCAGCCCGCGTCCGAGTTGGAACACAAAACGTCAGCTCACGATCGCCCCAGACCAACTGCCCGCGCACCCAGCGCAAGCAGCTTGATCACGTCCGTCCCCCTGCGCACCCCGCCGTCCGCGTAGACCTCCATCTTCTCGAACACCTCCGGCGCGTTCTTCCTGATGTCCAGGAGGACCTCCACAGCGGTCGGCGCGCTGTCGAGCACGCGCCCGCCGTGGTTGCTCACGTAGATCGCGGGGAAGCCGAGGTCGAGGCATTTCTTGGCGTCTTGCCAGGTCTTGATGCCTTTAGGGACAACTGGGAGGGTAGTGAGGTTGCGGAAATTGGCTAGGCTGTTGAGCTGCGGAGGGTGAGCATGAAGTTTGGACTGGCGCAGAGGTGATTGGTGAGCTCACGTCGAAATCCGCGTCGTGGCCGGTCCTAGAATTCGGTCTGATGAGAATATAGGGGTGCGTACTCGGTTAAGTACTCACTCGTCCTGTGCACCAGTGTATCTCAATGACCGTGTTCGGATACCGTTCACACCGGTATTATCAACCGTCAAGAATATTGCTTTGAAGCCCGCTTTTTCCATCCGCTGCAGTTCATCTATGACCCTGCTCTGGTTGCTCCAGATATACTCTTGATGGAACATGGTCTGGTTGGGAAGACCCGCTGCAGCGATCTCCTCTATAGACTTCGTGGAGGAGATGCTCGGCTTTTGGGCGTATCCCTGGAGGTTGGTCTCTGCCTTCATCAAGAGAATAGTGATAATTACTCACGACATATAGGATCCCCGCCTTTCCGGCTGCGCTTGCTAGTGAGAGCTCTGCCGATTTGTTCGCGTGTCCGGCTTGCGCCGCTGGAGCGATGAAAAATGGTTGCGTGAAGTTGTAGCCTAAGATGCTCGTCCTTTGTTATGGTAGCTCATTAGGAGTCTAGTTATTTGTCCTGAAGGAGTATAAATACGCACTGAGTGGTGATATTGCTGACATCCCGGAAGCTATATCCGTTGAGTCGTATTTGAGACCAAATATTCAGGTTCGCCTGGTATGCTGTATTATGCCGTTAGAACGAGTTTCTGGCGTGCGAGTCACGAATTCGGATGACCATACTTATTTCATCTAAAGCAGCGGTCCTGTAGGATGCTATACAGGGCTGTCAGCTAAAATATTGGCAGACAAACATGTTCAGGGCTCACCGTAGTACCTGGGCTTTAAGACATTCTTGGCCGCGATCTGGATGTCATTGAGGTCCCAGATGTCTTCGAGAGGTGGTAGCTCTCCCGTTACCCATGTCGAAGTATTCAGTCCAGTATCTGGTAGTCCTTCCATATTAATCTCAATAGAGAGACATAGCTTAAGAACCGAGAAGATAAATGAGAGTGAGAGGAACGTGGTACTCAAGCGGGAAGGAGCCATAGCAGTATTGTTGTACTACCTTCTGATGCATGCTCGCTTTATAATGCAGACCGTGCAGTATAGTTAGCTCGGTGTCAGGATATAATCGCGTCCGGTCGAGTGGGTCCGCTCTGTTTTGCTATACGTCCTGATGAATGGTGTCCGCTTATTTCTGACATCCCTACGCGGAGACATCATCTCACTCAGGAATCATGCATGTGCCCGGGCTATCTCTCGACGAGATATACGTCGGGCATATCCATGGCAATGACTCTCGGATCGCACAAGATAGCTTGGCGGATCAGAGTAAGGAGACGGCGTCGAGGTGGCAGTGTAGCAACCATACGAGACATCCGCGGATGTGTTTCTGCATCAATCGGCGGGAGAATTTGGGAAGCTGTAGATCCATGTGTCTGCGCTCCTGGAGGAGTGCTCGAGCAGCAATTAATATGCAGCATGCACATCCTCTCGATAGAGGAAGTGTGGTCAGAAAAGACGTCATGACAGGTGGAATCTCTTGCAGTCGGCGGCGGCCATTCCGATTTTCAAGCGAGCCGACGCACTCGGATACATACAGGATTGAAAGGCCAAGTTCCAGCTGTGACTTACGCTGATACGGGAGCTACTTCAATACGGACTACGTCACCGTGCCAGTCCAAGCGGCAAGTTAGGTGGTCACAATAGTCTCAAATGGTCGATGTATACAATGATAGGCGAGTCCATTGACGTGACACTCAGAATCGCTTCAAGCTATATTACACATATTCTTACATTACTTCGCTTCCGTTTCATTCTCATGCACGATCTTGGGCGGAGAAATCGACGTAGCCCTTGCCCTTTACGAACGTTGCCAGCCAAGGTTGCTGCTTCGGACTCTGCGACAGCTCATAGTAGAAATCTGCATGGGCATCCCCATCAATCGCTGACGCAACCGGCGCGCCATCTGCAGTACGCTCGTCAGCGTAATAGAACCTACGAAAGTCAGGGTCAGCGAAGGATTCACGACAACATAGATCGGCACAGCGTACTTGAAGCCCTTGTTCCCGTACGTCAAAGTCGCGGCCTCAACGATATGCGCCGTCGCTGATTTGCCAGCACCCAGGCTCGCGAATATGGGCAGCTGCTTCACGTTCAGGATGTTTCCCGTGTATATGAACGTCTTGGACGCGTCCGCGGGGAGCTGAGCGAAGCCCTTGACGGCTTCGTGCGCCGCTGCGTATGCGCTGGCGGCGTTGACCACCAGGTCCTTGCTGAAATCTGCAATGGGGACGGCGAGCGGCAGGCCTCCCGGAGATGCATGTGCCGAGTAAGCTGTTGTGCGCCGAAGTTCGCTTTAGCTTCCTTGTAACATCCACGCTCGACAGGAAGCTGAAACATGACGTACCGTTGTAAACGACGACGCTGGGAATGCCAAGTGTGGCTTTGACTTTCTCGAAGACGGATGATACAGCGGAAGGATCTGCAAAGTCGGCCTTTACGACTAGATCACCCGCTTTCGAGACTTCGTCGCTGGGGTTGCGAGCGGCCACCGCAACTTTGAATCCATGCGACGCGAACTTTCTGGCTACCTTGAGCCCGACATTGGATCCTGCACCAAGAACGAGGAGGACTGGGGGCGCCATGGCTATATACGTTGAATGCTGGCTTGTGCGCACCGTCCGAGGAATGCTTTATACGCAACCATCCTCTCTTCATAGAATCTTCGAGTTGATCTTAGTAAGTCTCTTGCATTGGTAGTGAATTGCGGGCTTCAAACTGACAAAGCGAGATGGTCGCCATAAATGCCTAATCGGGAAATTCGGATGACTGATTCAGCTCTCCAGGATCACTCGGAACCCAGTATATATGGCGAATACAAACGGGGTCTCGAGTGACTGCAGGTCAAGACGTACAAGATGCTGATTCTAAATCCTGCGCCAGGCTTGGGCCTTCAGGCTAGCACGCAATGCCTCTGAGACAGCGCGAGAGAAGTCGCAACAAACATCACTGGCTTCGAAGGTCGATCAACAACGTCACTCACGGTGATGGTTAAATGCTGCGGATGATGGACCTTCAGACGGTACTGACATCACTCTCGTATGAGCAAAATGGTCGGACGAATAATGGATGTGAACTGCATTTGTGCGAACGAAATCATCCAAACTCCCGCCGCGAGGATTTTAGCAAGTTGCCAATCAATCCGTATGTCGTACTGCACGGCTGTCGCAGGGGAGACGACGGTAGCCGTGCAGTGCGACCTGAGTGTAAACAGTAAGATCAGGGGGAGACCACTTTACTGACGTTCCTCCTGTCGTGTTCAAAAGCACCGCGACCAACCTGGGGTATTTGGGAGGGTAGTCTTTGAATGATACGTCCTATGGCGAGGCAATTAGACAGCCAAAACAGGTCATGAACATGGACGTGCCAACAACTGTCTCGATTCGAATGAATCCAATGTTCGAGTTGCGTACGTCATGCCAGGCTGCAAGCTACGAAAGGCATCTTCAACTTGACGTACCATGCTATGTACCCTCATGACGGCCAGCCCAGTAAGCTCAGGGAATCCTCCCATCTCCCTGGTAATAGTATATTGCAGCCAGGATCTTGTTGTGATTCACGAAGTCCCCCCCCTCCCCTGAACCTCTGGATTACGATGGAATACACATCGTCAGGGAAACGAGTGGTCAACCAGAGAGTGCGGAATGGTACGCAAACAGTCAAGGCAGTCGATCCTTGACGTCTTCCCCGTCAATGGTGTCGTGCACGGTTTGTAACGTGGTCCACCAGTTCCCTTTTCCCTAGTCGATCGACGGAAACTATCTCAGAGCACGGTAAACTGGGCAAGACGCCCACTAAGTATATTCAGTACGTCGAATGAAGCCAGTAGCATGGAATGAATGGTGGTAAGCGCTCAATAACTCCCGTGCGGCATATGCCGCAACACGACTTTTGGAAGCCGTCGTCGACGTTGGCGTCCTCCAGAGCGAACTTGCTGTAGCCTTGCGTCCTGGCTCCCACAAGGATACCTCTCACTTTCATTAACGCAACGCTCCGAGGTGCGTGAATCATATCTGCGATAGCGGAGGATAACCGAGGTTGATGCAACTGGCTTGACAGTCCTGTATTTAGGTCAGGACACGCTATGCCCTCGTTTCTGACCAAAGTCTTTGGACGTAATAAGGACGACAAGGAGGCGCAGCGACAATCCAAGCGCGCTTCAGTGCAGTCGTCTCTACTTGAAGGCAAGTTCGAAGCGGTCTCTCCGACCGTTTCGCCTTCAGCTACCGACTTCGCAGAACGCTCCCAAGAGAATGAGAAGCTGAAGCAGAAAGAGAAAGATGGGGGCATCCAGGGCATCTTCAGGGCCAAGTCTCGTACAACATCTCCTACAACCGAGCCCAAGCCGCTTGAGCCACCTCATTTATCTTTGAATTTGCCCGGTCTCAAGGACGAAAGGAGTTCCCGTCCCCTTGGTTCTGTATTCGACGCCAGCCCAGATGGCGGCTCCGTCTTGAGCGAGTCTGTAATCGGGGAGAGAAGGTTGACACCCGCCGAGGCTCTTGTTCTAGTTCGGACTTGCTCGCAAGCGATCGTAGAAAGAGGTGCGCACTACATTCACTGGTACCTGTGCTAATCGAGCTTCTCATGCTTTGTCGCAGGGCTCGAGACCCTTGGTATCATGCATCCCCACTGGTACTCTTCATCACCTGACGTCCAACGTCGACTTATCTCTCAGTTCATCCTTTCGTTGAGTTCAGATTCAACTGTCAACAATTCCGATTTCGCCTCAGAAATCGCCTATGCTCGTTCGCCGCACGATGTCGCAGCCGTTCTTCGATGGGGCTTGAGGCATCTCAAGATAGAGGGCGATTCCTTTGGCACAGATCGCTCCTGGTACACTAAGTTCTATGGGGCGGAGAAGGCCGAGTCGTATCCCCGGTCCGCGTACTCTGATAAACTCGTCCCTCTGCTCCCATCTTCCCATGCTGCACTTCTGTCGGTCACGTTGGACATCGTATCATCTCTTGCTGCACATGGCGAAGCAAACGGTATCTCGGGGAGCAAGTTGACTAAGCTCTTGGGATTGTGGCTGCTGACCGCACGTCGTGCCGAGAACAGCGATGACTGGAAACAGTTCTATGCACGGTGGGAATGGGCGGGCAGAGTGCTCGAGCATCTGTTCTTGGCTAAAATACGGTCAGTGCTCTCGAGTGTCTTCGTTATCTCTTCTCATACACCGCATTCGCAAGTGACGAGGCAGTGAAGCAGAGGATGCCTAAGCGTCTCACTGAACTGGTTACTCAATATCCGTACGACAAGACATCTACGGATGGATTGCTGCCCAGACCTAGGTTCTCCACCCGGAGATATGATGCTTTGTTTGTTCATATCGATACTGAGGTGCCTCGGGAGACCAAGATCGACGCGAAGCAGCACCCACTACATATCATCGCTGACGCTCTGCGCTCCGAGTCTGTTAACGGGGGGAACTTGAACACCCTTTGGGGTGCAATCAAGACCAGAGCGTCCAATGGCCAGGAGGCGGGTGAAGGGGAACGGGGGAAGGATGGCAATTCTTTGCCCCTCTTGTCGAATATTTTGTCGGATGACAGCATTCGGCTGTTGTCTCTCGTCCGCCCAGAAGGCTCGAGCCCAGATGGATCTACCTCCTCTTTAGGCCTCCTCACACCCGTGATCCGTGTTAATGAACCCAAGTCCCGTGCCAGGTCCTCCTCTGCAGGCGGCTTCGATCAGTCCGGAGAACCGAACGGGAATGGCCACTACAAGACTATATCCGCCTCGACGGGCAAAGCCCACGAGGTGTACGGCAGTACTACGGATTGGACACAGTTCTCGACCAGCGGGTTCGCAGAGCCCAGTACCGCCCCTAGCCTGGCTTTGACTCTAATGGACAAGGACGTCGAAGTGACCAATCCTGACACACGCAATGTTTCCAGGCGTAAGTCGAATAGGAGGAAGTCCTCCCCTCCGGAGCGGAAAGATGCCGCTGCTACCAACGGGAAGACCCCTTCACCATCTACTCCATCCAGCCCCGCCAAGCCTCCGAAGGCTTCTATGGTCAGCTTGGTTCAGCTTGATGAAGCGTTCATCGATTTCTGGAGCGATGCGCTCACCGATCCCATTTCTTCCGATTGGCCTAATTTCGTAGTATGTCAGCTGAAGAGTACGCCGGAGTTCACTGTAGAAGGTGGCAAACCCGTCAATTGGCTGGTTATTGAAGAGGCTCTGGTTCATCCTCCCCCGCCTTCTCCGACGGAGGCCACGCCGCGGGCCTCGTCCCCAAGGCCGTCATACCAGTCGTCTGGCGGCGGCAGGAAGAGTTCGACCTTCTCCATTGGCAAGAAGAAGTTCAGTTTGTTTGGTACAAAGGACGTCGAGACCAGTATTTCCGCTGGTAAGAAGAAGGAGAAGGTGGGCAAACGTGCCAAGGTGGGCGAGATGGGTGAGGTGTTGCAGGAGGAGGATGAGAAGGACAGGGAGAAGCACGAAACAGCTGAGCACGGCGCGAAAGTCACGAATGAAGTATCTAGCCGTGCTGCCGAAGCCCCTGTTGCTGCCTCTACTAGCTCACATGGCGTCGATCTCGCTGCACTCCATTGGGCAGAAGGAAAGGAGCCAGAAGTTCCGTCCCAGAAGGTATACGTCCCTGCGGAACAGCTCAACGAAGCTGCGATTGTGCCAGCCCCTGACGCCGCGTTGGCGACCCCACTCTCGAATGACGCGAAAGAACTCATCATTGAGGAAGAAAGTGCTGAGGGACCAATGAAAGTTGCCACCGCTCCGGCCGCCATCGTTCCCGTTGACGCTTCAGGAGACGCATTGCCGCCTGCACCCGAAAATGTGGTGACCTCTGGCGCTACGCCTGGTCCTCAACTAGCTCTAGATACTAGTGAACCAGTTGCCGCTGCCAGCGCGGGAGGTGAAGAAGTTGATGTTCAGCCGGCCTACGTGGAGATATCCCCGGCCAGTGAGGACGTCGCTAGTTCCAAGGTGCACGCGGTGGAGGAGAAGGTATGTCGTTTTGCCTCGAGAATGTTTAGCAGACTGTCTAACTGCGCGGTATCGTCAGGACGAGCCAGTAGCAGAAGATGCTGGAAAGCAAGAGGCCGCTATTCCGACTGATGATATCGGATTTGAGCAACATGTGGTTGCAGACGAAGGGGTTTCCCAGCCTAGCGAAGCTGTTGAGAAGCCTGAAGAGCCTGCGGTGCCGGAAGAGGTCGCAGCTGAGGAGCACGCGGTAGCGTCTGCGGCGGTCCACGTTCCGGCTGAACCCGAGGTCGCTCAAGCTGACCATGAAGGAACGAAAGACGAAGAACCTGCAGCGCCGGTTGAAACTCAGGATGAAGAGCTCGAAAAGCAAGCTGAACCCGAAGTGCACCAGCAGTCCGCAGAGGAGCTTCCCACCGGCTCCTCGGAGCCCTCTGGCATAGATGCTACTGATAAAGAGCATACGGACGATGTTCCAGTGGAATTCGACCAGCCGTCGTCTACTGCCTTCCCCTCGGAGCCAGTTCCTGCTGTTGACGAAACCTCAGAACTGGAGGTACCCGCAGACATTGCAGACGATGCACATTCTCCCGAGGCTAACAACGAGGTGGAGTCCGAGTCCCTCGAAAGAGCTCCCACCTCTGAGGATCTCCTCGGAAAACAACCCCGACCTGAAGGTATGTTCTTCGGATGATGATGTCGTTCTTGCACTCATCCACCGGTAGATTCACATGATATTCCCGCAGTGGCTGCACATATGCCCCCGGAGGGGAGTGAGACCGTCGTGGTCCCCGCGACTTTCGAGAAGGACATCCTAGAACAGGGCAGTGACTCTTCTTCTATCGCATACGAATCAAGGGGTACGTCTTCCTGATGCTGGATCTGTGAACTGTACTCACGACCTGGGAGTAGCGCCTACATCCACTCACAATGTACCGACGCACCCCGCCGAAAGATCGGCCTGAATGTCGCCAGATACCCTTTCATGACACTAACTCTTAACTTTCTCTATACCCTCATCTATTAGGTTCCGATCGATTTAGTATGTATATGAGTGGTTTCTCATGCTATGGCTCCTGCACTTGTCTTGGCTGTCTTGCCCACCCACGTTCCTTCTTCCAGTCGTACTGTGCTCCATCTATCCGCTCTTTCCATTAGTATATCAGCTACGGACTTCTCTTAATGATGCTGTTCTTATGTCGGTCGCACCATCGTGTTCTGCTCTATCTTGGAATGCTATTGCCTAGTTCTATGGCATACACTTTGAATTGATACAGGCTTTTATGATTGAAAGATGACGATCCCGATTATGCTACAATTACGCCCCGTTTGCGTCCAGCTTGATGCTCTCGATGTTCCAGTATTCCTGAGCATAGTCCTGGATAGCGCGGTCCGAGCTGAACTTGCCCATCTGATCATTCGGTAAGTCAAATGTCCGGCGCGACTCACAAACGAGGAAATACCTTGGCAGCAGTTCTGATGCTCTTTTTGATCCATTCCGTGCGATCTTGGTAAGCTTCGTCGACCATACTCAAGGCGCGGATGTCTGAGATTGGCTGTTAGAATCCGGAAGAATCACGCGCATACGACAGATACTGACAGGACTCGAAGTCATCCGTGATTAGATAGTAGTCATGCTGGCGCACGGTGTTCAAGAAGCTGTGTTGGAGACATTCAGAATATGCTGAGATAGCACGACCCCACCATATAACTTACGGTTCGTAAACCCCGGGGTCACCGAAGCGTCCGGCAGAGACTTCCTTGAGAACAGCAGCAAGAGCCGGTGACTTTTGCTCGACAGGGACCGGGTGATATGTGTGCTGGTAGCGCAAGCCCTCCACGTCAGGCGTGAGGTGCCCGAAGAAGACTTTAGGTTGAATCCATTTGAGGGTTTTGAAATCATACGGGAATGTATATGAGCACGTACAGACGTTGGCATCTCCAACTTCTTCCGCGATCTCGATGTTGGCACCATCTGATATGGACATACTCAGGGGTCCGCGACTGTGGCAGAAACAATGATACGCACCGACAGTCCCGACCAGCAGGCCGCCATTCAGACAGAACTTCATGTTAGAAGTCCCAGATGCCTCCGTTCCTGCCGTCGAGATGTGCTGGCTGATATCCGATGCGGGTATCAGGACCTCAGCCAACGAGACGGAATAGTCGGGGAGGAAGAACATCGTGAGATACTCCTTCGTCTCAGGGTCGGCGTTGATGACACGGGCCACATTGACAATGAGACGAATGATCTGGAGTTAAGACCTTGTTCAATAACCGGGATAAACAAGGCGTGACCCAGTCTGCTTACGAGCTTGGCAATATAGTCTGCATACGTACATGGATGTGTTAGTAAATGTCACTCGCAACAGTGTAAATCAATACGTACAGCCTGGAGCGGCCTTGCCAGCGAAGAAGACGACCTTGGGGTTCACCTTCTTGCGCTCTTCTGCAGACATCGCCTTCAGCGTCAGGTACCTCTGTAACAATGTCAAAAAAGCGAATACTTTTACGGCAGGGGCACACTTACATGAATCACGCCAAGAATGTTCAAGCTTTGACGCTGCGATTTTGCCGTTAAGGTTGGCATTCACGTCCTCAACAAAAGATACGAACCTTGTACTCATGCAAACGCTAGGAAAAAAACGCTAAGCATAATCCAAGGTGAAAATGAACGCATATATTCACCTTGACTTGAACATCGAACATCGCCTTGGTGTTGACAGTGTGACCCAAAGTTGTCTGGACATAGTGAGCAAGTCGCTCCTTGTTGCTCTGCTTGACAGCAGCCCATTTCTTCTGGAACGAGGGATCATCTACATACTTGAGGAGCCCTTCGAGCTTGTATAGATCCTTCAGCCACACGTTCCGCGGCACCTTGAGCGTCTCCGTGATCAGCTGGCTCAAGCCAGGGTTGCACTACAACCAATGTCAACGTCACTGGATTATGATGATTTTCTGGGGCGTACCTGATCCAGCCAGCGACGGGGAGTAACTACAAACGTCCATGAGGTTCGGCAAAGGTTATAGCTTTCATAATAGTCACTTACTTCCGTTAGTAACGTTGGAGAACCTGGTATGCAATGATGAGCATGTATAAGCGAATGTCAGTAAAGTACTCACTTGCTGACACCATACAGGTCGACGAAGTCCTTCATGATGGTGGTCCGAACGAGCTCACTGTGAAGCTACATGATACTATCAGGCATTGTGGTTCGACTTTGTCTTCTGTTACTACTAACCTCAGCAACACCGTTGACCTTGCGGCTACCTGCGTAAAGGTTCAGCCATTTACCGTCTTGGGGTATCAGCGAAGCGGCTCACCGATACATGCAAGGTTGGCCATCCGGACCTGCTTGGGGAAGCCCTCTGTACCACTCGTTAAGGATAAGGCGAAATGAGCAATATATTCTGATCTACTAACCCTCGATGATAGACATCCTAGCGAGCCTCTCGAGGTCACCAGGGAATTTTTTGTCCACAGCTATCGCAAAATCAGAGTCAATAGCGAAATTACAGGTTGACAACCCAAACGCACCCTGCAAGAAATATCTATAATCCAGCAGTCGTTGAGTTTGGCTTACGGGGTATATCTAGCGATGCTTACAAGTTCTAGGGGAAAAGATGTGATCAGTGATGTCATCGAGGCAGTCTGCAAGATAAGGAACTCACAATGTCGTAGATGATTTGCATATGCCTGGGTAGCAGGTGCTCCATGAGAGGGACGGGCCATTTCTGAATGTCTCTATCAGACAGCCGCATCTCACTGGGTCACCGAAATACCGACCTCGAGTGCTTCCTAACGAACGAGATTTGCTTGAGCAGGGAATTCATGAAACTCAGACATTGCTTGTACTCACGGGTAACACGGTGTGATTTGTGAAGAAGAACGTGTTCGTGGTGATGTTCCAGGCCAGGTCCCAGGTTAGGTCTTCTTCATCAACCAGGATGCGCATCAATTCGGGGATGGCGAGGGTCGGGTGGGTCTATGTATGCGTGATAAGTTCAATCCCACGGACCAAAGAATATAATTACTAACATCATTCAGCTGAATGGCGACGTCTAGAGAAACGTGAGATAATGATCGATATCGGCAGGATGTGCCAGTACTCACAATCAGGGAACTCGGTAATCGGCTTGTCCAGGTTCTTGAATCGACGCATGATGTCGGCCAGGGATGCAGCCGTCCAGAAGTACTGCTGCTTGAGACGGAGCTCCTTACCGACTGCAGAGGGGTAAGGTAAGGCCCCCGAGCAAGAACAAAACACTTACACGTCGTGTGGTCATTCGGGTACAAGACCGATGTGATTGCAGCAGCGCTGTTGCTGGATTCCACAGCCCGCTCGTAGTCGCCAGCTATAAGGATAGGTGGGGTGAGGCTATACGCTCTTCAGCAAGCACTGAACGCGCACCATTGAAGCTGTTCAAATCGAAACCTCTCTTGGGCTTACTCTCCCACAGCCTCAAGTTATTCGTGTTCTTGGTCTCATACCCGGGAATCATCACGTCATAGGCAATAGCCAACACCTCCTGGCCACCGCTCCATACTGCCTTCCCGCTTTCCAAGCGCTCCGCGTGACCATAGAACCGAATCTCGTACGAGACATCGAGTCTCGGCAACTCCCACGGGTTCTGGTTTTCCAACCATGGGTCGGGCGCCTCGAGTTGCTGCCCATCAGGAGCGATTAGCTGCTGGAAGATACCGTACTGGTACCGCAAGCCGTAGCCCCAGACAGGGAGCTCTTGGGATGCAGAGGAGTCCAGGTAGCATGCAGCAAGACGGCCGAGACCGCCGTTGCCCAATGCGGCGTCGCGCTCCTGATCCAAGAGATCTTCGATGTTGAACCCGAGCTTGTTGACACTGTCCGTGTACTGGTTCTTCAGACCCAGGTTCAAGAGCGCATTGTCAAGGGTACGACCCATGAGGAACTCCAGCGAGAGGTAGTACGCCCGCTTCGGTGCCTTCCTGGTGTAATGAAGCTGGGTCTCATTCCAGTTGACCTGGGGTGTAACATGGTGGGCATAGGTCATTATATGCGTCGATGTACCACGTACAATCAAGTTATCACGGACAGACAATGCCGCAGCCTGGTATGCGCCAAGGTCATCGATGTTGTGCGGCTGACGCGCAAGGGACGTCTGAACATGGTTCACGATGGATTTCGTGATCGTGGGGGTGTCTGCAGCACCTCCGATAATTAACCGCCTTCCGGATCTCCGAGGGCCTGCAGTACGCACCGGTGTGGACACCTCGCAGGGCCTCCTTCCATGTCTTCTCGTCCCCTCTGGGCCATTTGGGCTTTCCAGCCGAGTCCGTCTCGGGCAAGTAACCTACAAGTACATCTTTGTTAAATCGCGCTCTGACTGACGCGTCCAGGCGATTCACCAGTGAGAGTCCTGACATGACGCCGATGGCGATCCGGCTTCGGTTTCCCGATGGTAGACGTATCGATAACGGCGGTCATGACGGTCTGAAGGCTTGCTGCAGACGAGGGGGATGAGGAGAAGAGCAGCGCTGCGTCTGCGTCCTTATACAGAGGCGCGAAGCGGCCGAGTTGCCTGCCAGTTCGGTACGGGCATTGGGCCTGATCTGGGCTGTCACGGTCACGTGACGCCTAGAGCACCCGTCAGGTGGCGAGTCTCCTGTGATGGACGACCCCCGATATGGCGTCTTGCGGCCAGAATATGTTTACGAAGTCCAGAACAAGCAAAGGGGGATCAATGGGGAACTGATATTCGACTCCTTACATACAGCTTGTGAATGGAAATGACGGTGAGGCTCCACTTCACGAAGGGGTAGACCAGTCATGTGTGGTATTTCACCAGGTCGAGAAACGACTGCATGAATTCCTGCCTAGAAGAGCTTCAGAGAAGGCTCTGAGAAACCATATGGAAGGATCGGTGCGACCTACTAAGGTGATCTACCAATATACATACGCCGAGGGCACGAAAGAGAGATGGCTTGCTTCAACCGAGTTCATACCTCGATGAAGTCGGTTGGAAGCAAAATATCTTTCTTGGTGCTCCACCTACGCTAAATACCCTCGCCTATCTCACTCGCCTTGGACCACCTCTCCCGGGGCAGGGAACTGAAGAGCCACTATCGCTTCAATTCGGACCCAACGAGGAAGATCACACCAAACACGTACATTAACATTCCCTGGGAACAGTCCCCTTCAAATGCGGGGATGCGGAGTTAAAGTCCTGGAAACTAAGTGCCTGAGAAGCGAAACGCGCACAACAATGATAGACACCGGGACTTCTTGACAAGAAACCGAGGGAGAGTACGGATGTCGGTCCTACCAGCTTAGGCTACTGAAGGTGGAAGCATTTGCGAGGTGACAGTCATGACGAGAGTATACTGAATTCGCAGTACCAGATGGTCTTCTGCCCGACCTCCTTCACAGAATGTAACGCCACTCAGAAACCCGAGAACAGCAGGTAAACAGGGAGAACAAGTAGCCCAGCATAGGTTTCTTCGGATACTTCGGACCATATGCTGCGTAGAGCTTGACCGGTGATGAGGACGACGGTCATAATCGCGCGAAATGACACTTCGCATCCAAGGAGGCAATACCGCTGATCGACGATGCCCACACTCGCTAGGTCTTGCCACTGTCGGTGGGGTAAATCGCTGGCCGATCAGCAGACAAGCAAGATATAGGTGAGGAGAAAGATCGGCAGCTCTGATTGCAGACTTTTATACGCAGGCGAGGATTAATCCTTTATTGTCCCAACGTGGATACTGGCCGTCTGCAAATAACCTGTCTTCTGACCGTACCGGGTTGAGACGATCCTCTTCCAATGCGAACCCAACCACATGCAGTATGCAAAGGCAAATCAGGTACCGCAGTACATATCGAGATGAAAGTGCAGGCGAAGCTTTGTCGAGAAAACAAAAAGCAGAATCGGCATTTACCTGTCGCACCACACGTGGCTTACACGTGGTGACCGGGAGTAGGACGCCCACAACGGCGGAAGAGCCACACTGCGCGGCCGTCGCCAGCGGCCAGCCTTGTATGACAGGTTTGCTGGTCTGCGACGATACCCAGATACATCAGACGTTTTGGAGATAGAGACACATTTGGGACCTTAGAGACAGGTTTACTCTGCGCGTTCGGGAGCCAGAGGTCGTCCAGAGGCGACCTTCAAACATCACAGCTAGATGTGAGTTCGGAGTTCCCTTCATGAGCGCTTGCGATTAACCGTAGCTGACAACCGTGTTTGAGTTTCTTTAGGTTGGTCTCCTTTCGATAGCTTAGGATGATGAGATTTTATGACTGTTCTGACTGTACAGTCCATGAGGTCCCAAGCAAGTCAGTAGTCGTAAGGTCAGCCCGCGGCCGCGGATCTGTATGATAGCGCCAAATGCCACAATTCTCTTCCATTGGCCGCCACCCTACTTGTATCGCCACAGGGGAGCTACTCTATGTGACAGGATCCCGTCCTCGTTCTGTGCTTTAAACACTTGCTCTATGGCGGTCACTACTCATCTTCTCAGGTGCTTGACATCTCTGTGCCATGCGCTCCTTGACCTGGCCTCTCTATCTTTGGCTCGTACTCACCCAATTATTGGGTGTCGCGGCCCGATCTACCCATACTGTACGTTCCTCATACTAGTGCTATATCGCTGACACCGCCAACAACCTCTGGTTGTAGGTAAGTGTGGGAAGTATAGGGAGTTTCTACGACCCTCCTACCGCGACTGCCGAGGAAGGAGATACCATCAGATTCATATTCAGCGCTGGGTACGATCCCTATTCAACGTCCTTCTCAGCTACGAGCGTTCATGTGAAGCAGAACGCACAGCGTAACAGAGTCCAGTCTCGAGAATCCATGTGTCCCACTGCCCGGAGGCTTCGATAGCGGATTGATCGGCCCTGGCAAAAAAGTCTGGCGCCGGCGGTCTCCTGGGACATCGTCGTGTCAAATGCTTCGGAACGTCAGTCTTGATGTCACTGAAGGTGAAGTGTGCAGCTCATGGCAATCCAAGCCATCTGGTATTTTTGCCAAGCCACCACTCCTTATCCAAGCCATCTGGTATTTTTGCCAAGCCACCACTCCTTGGTCGCAATGTGCGGCCGGAATGGTTGGGTAAGTCGGGCTCCCGGTCATGCCTTCGGAATGAATTGACTCGGTCGAAGGGCTATCAACCCGCCTTCCAGCGAGACCTGGGATAGCTTCGTATCTGCAGCTAAGGCGGTCAGCAATACCCCTACAGTAATGCTGTCTCTGTTCCAATTATACTCTTCCAACGTGTTAACGCGTTTTCATAGCCAACGCCAACTTTCCTGCCATCGGGAATCGGAGCTTTCGCAAGCAACAGTCCCACCGTGGTGACCTCCTTCGTGCCGTTGCCGACATTGGATCCTTCAGCGCTCTCGTCTCTCTCCGCCTTATTTCCCACGTCATTCTCATTTCCCTTGCCATCGTCGTCCAGTGCGTCTGCCTCATCCACGTCCGGGAGCACTCTTGGGCCAGTCCTCGGTGGCATCTTCGGTGCCCTCTTCGCCATCGGCAGCGTAACTTTGTTGGTACTGCTTCTTATCCGTGCTAACAGGCGACGCCGGGCGGCGGAAGCACGACTTGCTGGGCTGCCTGCAAGGGATGTGGAAGAAACTGGTAACAGATACGCCAGAGAGCCGATGCAGGAGCGACGCAGTTCCAGAGCGCCCTTCAGGCGCACTTAGTCCAGTTCATGGGCGGGGCGCGAGTATCATTGCCGGTCAGCGACGGACATTTGATGCGCCATCGCGGGATAAGTATAGAACGCCCTGGATGAAATTGCAAAGGCATAGTGCGTGAGATTACTCGCTTCCAGAAGCTTGATCTCTATCCCCTCTCGTCTCTCGATAGCGCAGGCTTTTACATGTAAGTACAGACCGTTCGGGTATCGATGGCCGGTCGACTAACCTGGCTATTCGAATGTAGAAATAGATTCGTCCCTATGCTACTCGTATCGTCGTTCAATGCAGCAAAGTTGGCTTGATAATGCAATTTGCTTCTATTGTCGCAACCCCCATGCCTGGGTTCTAGGGAATGTTACGCTGGATCCATCAATTTTTGAAGGCGTTTGTGCGCATTTAGCCACTAAATGTGGCAAAAAGGCGCTGTTTTCTGATTCCATCGCTGATGTACCCTGGAGTCAACATGACAACAGACGGACCATATTGTTGAATTACTGTATGTGGGTTATATTCAATCCGTTGCAGGTGCTGTCATGACATCCCTGGGACATTTGTTTTTGATGGATGGGTCCCCTATAGCATTGATGTCCTTGGTTTATTTTTGCCTGCGAATACTGGACTCTCCCGCTGGTGCGGAGACGAGGCAAGCGTCAATTAAGAGCCTGAGCGGTGCTCGCAGATGTAACCTTCCTGGGCTGCGCCCGCGGCTTGCAACCTCCCTCTATCACACTGTTTTCTTTCTTTTATCTCGTACCGAATTGCAGGAGCTATGATTAGGGTCCTTGCTCTACTTTGGCTCCCATGTGTGCTTTTCTGGGCTGATGTTGCGCGAGGCCAAGCTACTCACCTGGTACGTCCAACATACCCTAAGAATGAGGTTGTCGACTTTTAACCAACACCGGCATAGGTGACTGTCGGGACCTCAGGTAGCTTTTATGACCCCCCAACGGTATCTGCTCAAAAGGGCGACGTAGTCAGATTTCTCTTCACCGCAAGGTAATCAATTCGTCGCAGATGGAGGCGCATGTCTCACCAAGCTGAAATAGCGACCACACTGTCACTCAGTCCAGTTTCGCGAATCCATGTCTTCCACTGCCAGGCGGATTCAGCAGCGGCCTCATTGGCCCCGCAATCAATACATCAGCTCCTACTTTATCTTGGGATTTGATTGTGGCTGACGACTCTCAGCGTGAGTGAGCACGCTTGCACCAGCCTCGTACTAATGCTAACGACCCTTAGCGATATGGTATTTTTGTGAGGGGACATCACCGAGCTCTCACTGTGCTGCAGGCATGGCTGGGTAAGAGTGCTGTGACGTCAAAAGGGAAATCGACGACTGACGACTGGCAGCGTCATCAACCCTCCTTCAAACGCGCTGTGGGACACGTTCATATCTGCAGCGAAAGCCGTCAGCGGCACGCCATCGGTAAGCTGCACCACATGTCCGTCGTATCAACCAATGAACCTGAACAATGTTCGAAGCCGACACCTGGTCTCGTACTGACCGGTGTAGGTGCTTACGCTACGAGTAGTCCAACGGCGGTGTTGGCTCTATCTTCAACCCCATCCTCTGACGTGACCGCTATTTCCTCCCTTTCTGTCATGTTCGCCACCTCAACCTCCGCATCTGGCTCGACCTCTTCCTCTAGTTCTGGGCAGAAAACGCCTTTAGGTCCCGTAATCGGTGGAGTGGTGGGCGGCGTAGCTGCGGTTTCCATTATCATCGTCCTGTCCGTCCTTCTCTATAGAGCCAAGCGGACATCGCGCACTCGAAATCCGAGCGGTGGGAATGCTGCGGACATGCTAGAGAAGGAATATCGCCCCGACGCATATGTTCCTCCCTCATCCGCTAATCGTGCGCTGCAGCAACGCGTTGCCCCTGTAGGGTTTGTCCAGTCTGCGCCATATGGGCCACAGTGGACTGCCTTACAGGGTGTCCAGCCGAGCCTACAATCGCCACAATCGCCACCAAGACAACTGCCTAGACCGCCGATGGAGTACCCGCTTGCACCGACACAACCAAATATCCGGGAGCTGGCCCACGAAGTCGCTGCATTGTTGAAACATGAAGGTCAATTCGTTCCGGCCCCATTGCAGGGGCAAGACGTCCTCCACAGTCATGACGCTATTGCCGACAATGCGACCAGAACCAGCATAGATCGCTTCAGTAGTCCCGATTCCAGTGCTCGTCCAAATGTTTCGGGGAGGGTCTCAAGTTCCTTCCCTCCGCAATATGAGGCTTGACAGTGTGATGCTTACAATTTCTACGTGTCTACATCGTGTCCTGGTTTATACGAGGTTTAGCTGATATCCTTATCCACTGTGTTTCCCTCAAAGTACTAGTTTGGCCTTTGAGGCTTCCGAGTCCTGGCCCAGTTCAAGTTTCGAGATGACATTGCTTGATCAGCCAGTTCATCCTTGAGGATTCCTTGGAGCAAAGACAGGATACTTAAATGAACGAGCTGCACGTTCCAAACGAGATCATTTCCCGATTGCCTCCGAGAGAGGTCGGCGGTCGCCAACCAACGGATTGCCGTAAATGGAAAAATGATACCCTTATATGGAAGTACTGTGGCTGGCGTGTGTGTCTAAGCACAATCTTAGACCCAGCGACGATGAAAGTGCTCGCCCGAATCGTGCAACTAATTGGCTCTAGGCTTATTCTATCCAAGCTGAACTGACTATGTACACTACGCATAAATCGCAACTAATGCACTCGGCCCGCTTTGATGTACTGTGCTGCGTTGCTTTCGAACATCGCCGGCAGTTCTAGTCCGTAAACCTGACGCCGGTGCAGGTAATCCCTTGGGGTCTCTTGCTGGGTAACGACTGTCAACTACTGTATAAGCAAAAAGTTGTAATCTGACCGTTCGCGGCCGCCATCCTTCCCTGAACGTCAGTAGTATACGGAGCGTCAAGCGTATAACCCCTTCGCCAAAAATGAAGTCCCTATATCAGGTTGTACTTTGGCCATTGTCCAAACCACCCTCCATCCTTGAGCTTTCCTCACGAGGGACAGCGTCACTCCAGGCTCCGCCACGTTACCTCCGGTTGCAGGGGGTGCGTACTCACAGATATCCAAGCTGAGCAGTGGAAGGAATTCATCGATGGCTAACAAGACACATGAACCATTCGCGCGCTGCGTCTGGATATACCGGCGCTTGTAGATGCCAAGTACACCATGATGTCAGTGGCCTTACTACCACGTCCACCATGACCTGACCCATCGACGGCTAGCAGGCCTTAATCTCGCGCCACCATGACACCGTGCCTCCACGTACTGAGGACTCTGCAAGCGAATTCAGAGGCACGATCTCGTGCAGTGCAGCTTCTCACGTCACCTCAACATCGAAGGTCCCGGTACCCTCTATCACTCTAAGTACCCAAGCCTCGTTCATCAGCGTGCATTCGCCCCCGCCTTCCCTCATACCCGTGTCTTATCGAGGAAGGACCTCTCTCGGTATCGTCCTTGGTGCCATTTTCGGGGGTGTCACAGCAATTCTCTTGGCACTTGCTGCGGTCTTCCTCCTTACCCGCAGAAGACGCAGACAAGTGGGTGTTACTCGAGATGAAAGGAACAGACATCACTGCTGGGATCGAAATGATAACAACTTCACTTCATCTTATGGCTCAGTAATGGATGGCTATGCCACCTCCGACCCTTTTCGCGGGCCCTCGCCTACGCGTCTCTGTCATGATGGTCGTGTTCAAGCATGCTCGACATACAGCTTTCAAGTTGATGCTCACCCCACGGAACTGAAGACGATCGGCCGACCGATGTGCGAGGGTCAGGCGAGATGTAATTTGCCATTGCCTTAGCTCATGTCCCTTAACACCGTAGAGTATGACGCACAGATATCCTTCTCATACCTCAGAGAGGCAGTTGTAACGCGTTGTGCGCTCTTGATACGAGCCGGAGACGCCTCCCCATTGAAGTGGAAAGACGTGGCTGTCTCTGTTTCAATCGTCTGTACAGTGTCATGACGTAGCGTCGCTGCCCTCAACCGTGATCACCGCATGGGTCTACAAGGGACATTCGATTCCCATACTGTTAACACCAACCTGCACTGACGATGTAGTAGCGCAGACGAGTGTTGATTTCCGAAGCCGGGATTATGCAGGATATTCGCGTTGTTGGCATTCTTACATTCCCCGCGAGGGACTCCAGATGCACCGGTGTCGATATCGCAGATTACCCCGTGAGGAGGTCGACGCTCTCTGGGATACAGTGACTCGCTTTGCGGCTCTGGGTCCTAGGCAAGCGACTGCTCCACCAGCCCCCACTTCCTACGCCCGCCGGTGAGAGGTACGCAGATTCGCCAGCAAGGGGGGTATAGGAGACCGGATCGCTTCAGCGAACGTAGGTGGCGGGTCCGAGTGAGTTAGGGTGGCATATTCCGGCACTTCTTCCGTCTGCTGGCGTGTCAGCTCGACTACAACTGGTGGTAAAGCGTACGGCGGGGGTTGGGTAATCGAAGTCAGTGATGCGAGGCCGCGAGGTGTGTGTAGAGTCACTTCGGCCATAGGAACCTGACTGGTTGCCATCCCATCTATGTCGTCGTCGTTGTCGACTCCAGAAACGCCGGCTTCAGGGTGAGTGCTCTCGCTCCTCGCACGCCTCCGCCGAACGAGTATCGTCGCGGAAACGACACAAAATGCTACGGACAGCACTCCAAAAGCGCCGCCCAATGCCCCTGCAAATGTTGCCAGCTTCCGCTGCGACGACTTGCTGGCAGGCCTGTGTGAGGTGTATATTGGTTAACCAGTGGGAACGCGGCAGCGCGGAGGGGTACCCACTGTTCCTCCACCCCAGGTTCAGCCATATCTGTCCTGTAACAAACCTCAGAATACGTTCTCGGCATTGACGTAGATTGAGCGGAGGTCTCGACAGAAGTCGACGGATGACTTTGTCCCTCTGGGTTCCCTCGGATGATATTTACTGGCGCGCCAGAGACATGACTACTCGGAGCGTGCATAAAAGTCGAGAAGATTAAAGCCATGAATAAAGGAAATAGAGGGAACTGCCAGGCGTAACAGAGATGACGGCACCTGTATTATATCAACTATGTGCGTTTCAAGCCTCGGAAACCCAAGACGACACTTACATGGATGTCAGAGACACACCAAGAGCCTAAGGATGACTTCAGCTGTGGCCGTGGAAGTAGCAAAGCTGCTAAGAACATAACGCCTCGTTGCACTGGGCCGTCGGTGAATTGTCTCGAGCTCCATCCGAAGGTATGCCAGAGTGAAGTGCTACCCAGAGAACGCATTAGTTCATGAGATGACAAGATAGGAGATCTTCCACGTCGTCTAAGCAACTCTGAGGAATGCATTACCTGAAGAGTGGGCAGACGTCCAATTTAGTTTAGAATGGTTCACGACTATCGTCGGACAAACAACAACCCAGCGCTCGGGGTAGAGATGATTGGTTCGTGCATTCTCATGGCGGAGTCACCTGTACAGGATGGAGATCGGGTACCAAATGCCATTGGCTACCGTACACATGGGCGACGCTCTCATGTTTCCTGGGTTCCACGTCTCTAATTGGAAGAGATACGACAGGAGGGGGATCTTTCCAATAGTCGCCTGAGACATGCGTTCGTAGTGCACCCAGTGATGCTCCGCATATATATACTGCCCCGGAGGAAGCATCAACGCAAATTCAGTTGGCGAAAATACAGGTCCCAGACGAAGATGTGTGACAAGAAATCTGACACGTGCAGTAGGGGCGGTGGTTATCTCCCAGGACTGAGGAGGGAAAGCTTCCGAGTAAGTAAATGGAAGGAAGTGGGCGGGACCGAATGGGCAGCCTCGGACGGCGGCTAGACTGGCAGACGCTCTCGCGGGGCAGCCAGCTGGCGGTTGAACGTTCGATAAGCCAGCACCGCAGATGGGACATGACGTGCATGTGTGACGCATCCTTGCATGGACATGGACCATGTTGAAGAGAAGAATATCGATTAATGCACCTGTGGGTGGTATAAAATTGAACCACATTAGATAGCCGCCGAGCGTAGCATAGCTTACTGTACCGACCTGATAGCAGGTTTCAGAACCTTTGTCTATATGAAGAAGGCTCAGGAAACACGAGCTTCCAAAGTATTAAGCAGTTCTAGTTAAACGCTTCCCTCCGCGTTACTGCACAGTTAGCCGCATTCCTGTCACTCTGACGACTCACCAAGTAAACACCTCGCCGCATCCGAATGCTATATCTCTAACTGAAGTTACAGTTGCCTAGCGCTTCGCCATAGCTACGTATCTTGCTGACCATCCCAGACATAGTCTTCGAAGATGTTGATCCACCATCTTATGTCCCTGCCTCCACCGAATGGGCCGTCAACCTGTACTTCATCCCTGCATATCTCCCCATCCTTCTCCACCTCGGCAATCATCTCTCCTGCCAATGAAACAGTAACATTCTCGTCCCGCGCCACCTCTAGGGTCGTAGATGGGCCCGACAGCGTGATCATTGAGGACAGCCGGGACGTAAAAGCGACATGAGTATACCGAGGCGTATGGAGAACGGAGAGCCCGCTCGTGAAAGTCCGGGTTAAAAGAGGTGGAGAAGTATAGGACGGGAGATGCGGGAGGACCTGCAGGAATGTACTAGGAGGAATCAAGGCTAGAAAATGCTCAATTCCTGGAGAATCCTGGACACGTATAAGTAGATGAACTGACCGACTCCTCTGGCTCGATTCCATCCTCCCCAGACCTCATCCAACCCCACGATACCCCTTCCTCTCATGATACCTGTCGCCTTCGTGTTATCCTTACCTGGCGAAGATGCCATACTCGTCGCGTCTTCCCAATGTTCCGTATTCTGCTCCTGGCCCTGCTGCAGCAAACCACCCAACTCGCGCGCCAGCTCTTCCATCCATTTCCGCTCATCCTTCACCATATCTTGCGTCACAGGCGCGTTTGCCATAGTCAGACCCAACTGCGCTAAAGATGTTTGGATGAAGTTCGCCGCCTCCGCCTCCTCCGAGCCAGCACTAAGGCTTGCGCGACCCTCGGCTTTGCTTCTCGCTTCGGCGAGACGGATTTGCTCAGTGAGTTCCGATGCAAGGGTCACCATTTGTTTCGCTTGCGATGCGAGGGCTTCCAAATCTGAGAGAGCTGACGAGAGGGAAGTACTGCGCTGTTCAGCATTGTTTTGAAAGGTATTAAGAATCTGGTCTATAACCCCCAGTCACCAGCTGTAGAATACCTGTCCTTGAACGCAACTCACTAATGCCGGAGGCACCTGTAGCGGCGGGAGACGTGGTACCGACGGCTACCCTGGCTATTGATCTCGTCGTCTGTGTAAAGTGTCAATGAGATCATGGCGAGAACGAGGTTGCTCCCATACCTGCCAAGCCTTTCCCTGCAAGGTCCGCTTCAAAGCTGTATAGAAAGGCTTGTCTCCCCCTTTCCTGAAACTGAGTTTTATGAAGGAAGCGCCTTCACTCCCGACGGCACTCGAAGGCGCTGGACTTGCCGTCAAGGATCGAGTCACCTGCTTTAGCGACGGTGCAACAGGCAAAGATGTGCCGCATATCTCGCAGGTTCGGAGGGAAGGGGGGTTATGGTAAGTACACGCAGGACAGGCAATGACTTGCCCAACGCTCTCTGGATCAGAGACGGGAACCTGTGAGGCCCCTTCGGAAAGCAGAGGCAGAGAAGCGCTATTTAAGGTAGTCCTACCTTGGGTAGGGGCTAGCCTAGGTGATGGTTTTGAGGGAGTCGCAGCCGCGGACGACACAGAACGAGGTACGCCACAGAGAGAACAGACTGCTGCTTTGGCAGGGCTCCAACCAGGACCATTGCGGTTTCCACACACTTCACACTCCCAGGTCGACCAGTCCAGTTCATCAATAAGGTCCCCTGAGCCGGTATCTTTTCCGCCTTCCGACGAGGATTCGAGGTGAAGGGTGATCTTAGCAGAAGAGCGTAGAAGCCCAGCATAGTAATCGGTCCGAACGACGTGAGACAGATCCAGGTAGAATGAATCGGCTGGTGCTGGGACAGAGATGAAGAAAAGACGCAGAGAGGTCAACGCCAAGATCCCTATCTGGTGACGGGGGGATTTCGCAGAGCTATGCCAAATCTGTTTCCGTCATACAACCCATTATTAGCCGTATCGAGTGACACGAGATGGCAGGCGTACGTGTTAGAAAATCGCCAGAATAAGTGCAAGACTCGCAAAGGAAGTGCAGCACAGGAAGCTGAGCTGAGCAACATACCCATCGTATATACCAACTCCATCCTGGCTCGTCACTAAGTCTTCATCGTCGTACAATAGAGCGGGAACTGGAATGGTGCCATCCACAGGCTTTGTGAATCGTGCAAGAGCCATCCAAGGGGCCAACGCGGGTATTACCGACGACGTCAACCCTATTGTCGTTGTCCCTTTCCAAGTTTACGGGGTCCCGATTTTCACTTTCTTGCACGCTTTGCGTGCACTTTCTATTTGCGACTTCCCAGAGCTGTATTAAAATCTGAATCTTTTTCTGTACCGTTGAGTAGCATTCTAGCACAGGTCTACATACTTTTTGAAGTGGTAGGACATACGCTATACCTTTGATAAATGTATCAAGCAAAATCTGAGGACGCGAGGCTGTAGACCACTTGCCTGATTCGGACAAACGACGCAGTGTGTCTGAAAACCGGCGATGCGAGCAGGCTCCTAGAACCATCCGTCTCCGCGTCCTCGATCCTCTCTGCTAGGGCATATGTGAAGATGTTATGTAATAGGGCTTATATAATGCAGCTTATTTATAGATGTGTTTCCTAATTAAGACGACTAGTGAGGATGAGGACGCTCTGAGACGGCTGGCCCAACTCGTCGTCCGAGGTTTTACCGGAATTATGTAAGGCAGCTAAGCGACTAACGACGCGTCGGTTTACTGCCGGTTTATCGACGTTCGTCGACTGCCCAATTCGGATTTTCGAAGTGTTCTCGTCGGCGTCGTCGCACCTCAGCTGCCTTTGTCCTCTGCTCGCACGCGTGTGGACGGCAATAAAGCTGTTAATAACAAAATAATGTATTATATCTGCGTTGTGGATTGCATGCACTTCCGCCGAGTCTCCCCTATATCAATAAAGAAAATAGTGAACAATTTCTTACTACAAGATTCAAGAAGCTACTGTCTCCATCTCTTTAGCGAAATCAAATGAGATTGAACATAATATCTCATGTCATAAGGTGTCAGGCTACTTTGCATTGAAGAGCCTGGTGCTTGCCCTTTACCAATGTATTCAAAATAATCTATCCATCGAGAATACAAAGC